TAATTTGGCTACTGAGAAGTTGAATTTAGAGTCAAAGATAGAACAAAATACCCAAAAGAGAGGGAAGTCATCCAGTTCTTCAAAATTGATGGAACCTTCTGATGGTTCCCATGATGAGAAAGAAGCGGAGGCCATTCCAGAGCATAAAAATGATGGCAAGGATCCTCCTGGTTCAGCTCCAGAGCATCAAAGTGATGGCAAGGATGCTTCTGGTGCAGCTTCTGAGGAACAACCTGTCAGTGCTGTTATATCCTCAGAAAATAAAGAAGAGACAGTAATTCAGCCTTCTTCCCCCAAGGCAACTGACAGCAAATCTGCACATGTTGCTTCTCCCACAGCAAGTGGGAATGTGCCCGATGAGAGCCATCCAAAAATGATGGAAAGGCCTAAAAAGAAAGAGAGTCTCATTAAGGATATAACACCTTCTGCTGATGATGCCTCAAAAAAGACATCTGAAGGAACTAGTGATTCAGAAGCAAAGCCAAATAGGCGCTCTGGGAAGAAGGTTGTGGCTGGGAAATTGAATGAGGAGAAAACTATGGCTGTGACAGATGAAAGTAAGAAAGAAAGTGGCACTGCTACTGGCTCAGAGGCAAAACCAGTGAAGCAGGCAGCAAAGAAGGTGGATGCCAGCAGTAATAATGCAGATGAATCTGCTTCAAAGCAACAGGAGGATAGGAAAAGGCGATCTCGAGGGAAAGGTGTGTCCGAGAAGGATGAAACAAAACCTTCAACTAAGAATGAAGAGAAGGTACTCCCTCTTATTATTAAATTCTGGATTGCTGCCCTGTTGAACTTCTTGCTGGTATTTTTTATTTTTTGAATGGATTTTAGAGTTGGGAGGTCATTAATCTTATTATTTATATAGGAAACAGTTGCTTCTCCAAAGTCAGTGAAGTCAAGTAAAGATGAACCTCGTGTGGAAGAGACCCCTAAGACTGATTTAAAGAGAAAGTTAACTCCTGGAAAAGACAAAGTAAGTCCCCCAATTCATTCGTATTATGCACTAGCCTCAATTATCCATGAAGAAGGGAATATGTTGATGACTGATTCAGTTGCCTTGTTGAGTATCCTTAATTAGTGCTTTCTTTCTGTTTTCTCAGCATTGTTTAATGGATTTTACTTGCATCAGCTTATTTTAAGCTTAAAGGTTTCTCATTTCTTCTTATAAATGTTTGTTTTCTTAGGCCTCTGGTTCTAAAGAATATGGTGAGAATCTGGTTGGTTCCAAGGTCAAAGTTTGGTGGCCCATTGATAAAACGTAAGTATAGATGTATTATGCGTAAACAATTCTGGCCTAAGAAATCCTCTCTTTATGGTTTTATCATATTCTTTGCCAACCTTGGCCAAAGAAATTTTATCATGTAAAGCTTAAATGTATTTAAAATGATTTCAAAATGAGAAAATAAGATGTATGTTGCATTTCTTTTCTTTTGTTTTCAGGTTTTACGAAGGTGTTATTGATTCATTTGATTGCATTAAGAAAAAGCACAAGGTGATCATTTAATTGGAACCCTTTTCCCTCTTACATTTTTGCTTTCTTGTGGCTTTTCTGAGTTTCTCTATACATCTCACTCTCAGTGGATATTTTTTTATTTTAATCATTTATTCTGCTATAGGTATTGTATAATGATGGTGAACAAGAAATTTTGAATCTTAAGAGGGAAAGGTGGGAGTTTATTCAAGATGATTCTGAATCAGATGAGGTAGGCAGTTGTGCCATTTGGTCATTTCTATCTTTAGTTATATCCATATTCTAGAGTGATTTAAAGTTGAACTTCATTCTTGCAGGAAAAAAATGGTGGTCAAGCAAGTCCTGAGTCTTCATCTGATATGTAAGTGGTGCCTATTTATGGTACTCTCTCGAAAATATCGATTTTATGACCATCATGCTCCCCACCACTCTCCTTTTTCTTTCCTCCATTTTGGATGAAGAAATATATTTTTAAATGCTACAAGTCATTGAATGTTACTCTATGATCACTGCTATTTCGAATTTAAGAAACCTGTTGGTTCAGTGATTTATGTATGAAATCTCTTTGGAAGAGATATCCTTGCTTGTTTTTGACCATTTCTTTTCCTGTTCTGTTAACCATAACCAGGCCCCTGAAGAAGAAAGCAAAATTAACTGAGCAGTCAACTAAGCAAGCTAAGATGGATATTTCTCCCAAAACGTGAGTAAATTTTACTATGTAGCCCTTGCTTTGAATTTGGCTAAGTTTCTTAAAAATTCAAATTGTTTAATTTCCAGGGGTGGAGGAGGTTCATCCAGCAAATCCAAGGGTAAATCTAATAGCAGGTCAAAAGATGGGAAAGTTGATAGCAAATCAAAGGATGGTTCTAAGACCAGCAATAAATCAGAAGATGACAGTGCCAGCAGAAGTAAGGATCACAAGGCGGCTGGCAAATCTGAGGACATCCTTAGCACGCCAAAGACCAAGTCTAAGCAGGAAACCGCCAATCCTTCTACTGCTAAGGATAAGCCCCGTAAAAGCAGTGGCAAATCTAATCCTAATGGAACTGGCAAGTCAAAATCTGGTCAATCGAAGGCGAAAGAATTTGAGAATGTGAAAGAGAACTCAACAGAATCTGCTAAAGGACAGGAAAGTGTCAAAGGTAAATCACCAAGTTCATCCAAGAGTGGCAAAAAGAGACGAAGATAAGCAGGAAGGTGATGTAGTTAGGGGTTTTGTATCGAGCATACCATCTTTGAATGTTAGAATTTATTTATTGCAGCTTTGTTAGATGTTGAGATGCTGCATCCACAGCTAGCCATGCACTTGTTATTTGTCGTCGGCAATCCTTGTGTGGTGGTGGCTGGCGTATTTATGTAATTCTCAATTAGTGTAGTTCACAGTGGTTGTTGTAGGGTTAAGTCTCTCTCTTATTTGTCTTTAGATGGCGGCACAGCAGAAAACACTTTCGTCAGCCCTTTTGTGTTTCCTTTTTTTAAAAGGAAGTTTTTTCAATAGATAATGTAATAGATTTGATTAAGTATGTGTCTTTTATCAATTTTCTTTTGTAGTAATTGAGTGTTGTCTGTGAAGTTTGAAGTTAGAATGCAAATCCTAGACGGGCCAACAAAAGGAAGCAACAAGATTCAAAAGCCACTTGCATGTTTGGGCCACCTAGGGGTCTATCTACTTGGAAGAAATGGAAGTTAGATTCAGTTGGGGTATTCTAAAGGCTCCCAACCAGGTCGGGACCAACAATGGATTGGGCTTGTTGCAGACTGAAATTAATGGCTTTATATAGACCCAAAAAAGTATTATGCAATTTTGACTATAAAATAAAAGAAATTATATAATTTAAATTGTATAATATAAATAATTAAATTAAATTAGATTAGATGAGATTACCATCTAATTAAAAATTATTTTTTTATTTAATAATTTTTATTTTACAATCTGATATTATTTTAAATTACAAAAATAAGAAACTTATATTGAAATTAGGTAAAGCATTCCAACATAGGTTCTTGGTGTCGATTCTCAAAGTAAAATTGACATCCATTTTTCATATTACCTCTAGTAGAGCATGAAAGTAAGAAACCATATCTCCTCCTACTTTATTCGCCGCCATGATCACATCCCCCAGATATTATACCGGAATCAGGATTCATGATAATGTGTTAATCCGGTAAAAAAGAAAAGGAATGTCGTAGATAGTCTCAGTTGACTTGGTGCGCACCAAGTTTATACATATTGGCATTTTTGCGGTGGTGGATGCACAAAACTCCACTCAAGTTGTTCCTTAACTTTACCTTCTCGTTTTGTTGTTAGTAAATTCGATATGTTTTCGAACTGCACGAATCACAAAATATTAGTAGTAATTTTTAAATGATAAAAGACTTCTCAATAATAATAGATATAAATCTTTTCATTTAAAGTCATATTTTTATTTTTTGATAGAGTTAAATTTAATTTTTATTTTTTATTATATAAAAATATTTAATTCAAATTATATATAAAAATATAATAATAATAATAATATTATTATATATAAATTATTAATTTTTTTATTTAAAATTTAAAATTTATATTTTTAAAATTAAAAAAAATAAAACTAATTCAAAAAAAAAAAAACAAAAAAACAAAACAAAGGGAATAATTTATATTCGTTTCTTTTTACTATTTTGTAGTCTATGGTTTAACTTTATTGGTCAAATTTTACTGCGGCGTACCCATATACTTTAGACAAAGTACGACGGAAGTGATGCAGTCGTGTCTACTGGATTGATTGTGACGTCCTTTTGTCCGTTACCCAAAAGCATTTATCATCTCTGCAGGTTTGCAGCTGCCTGCTGCCTACATACGCAAAGAAAGAAAGAGCGCCAGACTCTATAAAAGGTATACTCTTAATTTTAGGTTGAGATTTTCATCTTTTAAATCTGTACTAATTATGTACCAAAAAAAAAATCTGTACTAATCTAAAAAAAAAGATTAAAGAAAGAAAGAAAAAGAAGAAAACATCTCCTTTTCTACAAATGGACTGCAGGACTTAATTATCGAGGTGTGAGGAGTTTCCTAAATTAGAAAATGTTTGTCTTTTTTTTTTTTAATATTTAATGATAAATTATATAAATTTAGATATTTTTTAAAAAAATTTTTAAATCTCTTCTCATTCAATTTTAAATTTGAATTTAAAACCTCTAATTTAAAACTTTATATCCTTAATCATCAAAGTAACTCATTGAGAGTTGATAATATTGTTTAGGAACTGAGGAAGGTCATATCTTTGCTTTTTTCTTTTTTTCTTTTTATAAAAATTATTTGTGTTCAATACAAGTTGGATAGCAGGATATTAATTGGTATATGGATGGACAGATCTTTATTTATTTTATTTTATTTTTTGGGTATTTCACAAGTTATGTGCTTATAGTTTTTTTTGTATGTTTTTGATCGATCTCCAATTATGGAGAAGAGTAGAGCTAAAGGATATTTAAGGAGCATTTCAAAAATATTAAGGTAAACCATGCAAGAGCGGGGGATTCAGACATTAGAATAATATATGAAGAATTAATTTTTTGTAAACTTAAATTAAATAATTTCATGACAATGATTTTTTCTTTTTTATGAGATATATCAATTAGTTAAAACCTTCACAAGAAAGAGGAGTGGGTTGGAGGAAGAAGGATTTGAACCCTAATAGTATATTTGATTTAAGAAACATAAAGGGAGAGGAGGATTTTTTTTGTCTAATTAAATTATAATATTTAAAAATATATAATTTAATTAAAAATCCCTCTCTTCTCCCGTATCCTCCATTCCCTTCAAAGTAAATATACTATAACCATATAGGTGAAGAATCACCTTTTTACTGATATTACATTCGATTGGTTACTCTACAAGCATTTCTCATAGTGCAAGGTTGTCATCAGACATTAGAACAATAGTATGACAATGATTCTTTTATTCATAACAAAATATAGTACTATAACATTGTTTTTTGGCAGTCAGTCAAGGTGCAAATTAATTTGTTATCAGTATATATATGGTATATATATATATTTGGCCATCCATGCATAGTCCCCATTTGCTTTATTTTTCTTTAGGAAAATGACGTGTGTACACCCGAATTCAACACTCGGGTGTGTACACCCCCCATAAAAAAAAAAAAAGAAGATCCAGGTGCACACCATTTTCTTTTTTTTATGTGGGGGTGCACACCCGGATGTTGAATCCGGGTGTGCACCAATCATATCCTTTTCTCTAATGTACCCTTTTTCACCACTAAAACTGAAACTCAGTGATGGGTATTTGTGCATCTAGCTACTGAAAGAAATCATGGATCTTCCCCTTTTTCTGTTTTCGAATATATTTTCCGTATGGATGATTACATATCTAAGGCCTTCAATTTATACCTTTTCTTTTTATTTTTCCTATTTTCTTTCTTTTAAGTGACCAAAACATAAATTTATTTAGTAAGGGATTACATTTGGGCTCCATACCAAAGTTGAGGGACCAAAATTAAGGTTTTAATTAGTGCCTTAATTAGGACAACTTGAACGTAAGAAAAAAATGTTCTATTTAGCAGAAAAAATAAAAAGGGGGAGAGAGAGAACATCTTTGTAAAGCCAATAAGTCATAGTATTACTAAAAATTTGTAAACACAAGTGTTGGATCCATTAGTAAGTATTGGTTTTTATGTTTGATTTGTAATTTAAATTTTGATGTTAATACTCAACAAAATTAATTTTTTTAAATATACCAAATTAATGATGGAGAGTGTATCATTAAGATCGCTTGAGAGGAAACTAATTTTAATATATGCAAAAATTAATTTAAAGATACTTTAATTGTAAAAAAAAAAAAATTGAATCCACTTTTCAAAGTGACAATATGCTGGTTGGCTACACCTATAATTAATATTGTACAGAAGCATCAGTTTGTGGTAGGGGTCACCTTGGAATTATATATATTCAATAATTCAGTGGTCCTCCATTCCTTAGTATGGTGTGTTTTATGACAAAGAAAAAAAAAATGGTGTGTTTAGGCAATTGTTATGCTGACAGCAGTGCTATATATATATAATTAGGGTTTTTTTAACCTATGCAGTTAGGACACAGACTAGAAAAATTCATATAATTAAAGGCTTAATAAATAGAGATAGAATTTATAATTAAGAAAACAAGAAACTTTTTCACAGATTTTCCTTCTCTAATATATAAAATTGCTTTCTAACTGCTGTGCCTAATTAAGAGTGACACACACACACAAAAGAGAGTGAATTTTGTTGGCAGTTGTTGACATGGTGAGTTTGAAAATTCAATACGTGGGCTTTAACATAAGAATTATGTCTAATTTTAACTTAATTGATAATAAATAGAGTAATTTTTTTAAATATTTAATTTATATTTTTTTTTATTCTTCTCGTTTAAAAATATAAATCATTTGATTTTTTATACATAATTTTAAGTAATGCTTTTTTATATATGAATGATAATTGAGATTTTTTATTCTAGACATAATTTTTATTGAGCAATTTCATTTAATTGAAAGAAAATTTCAATTATTATTCACATACTATAAAAAAAAAATATTTCCTCCAAATACATGTAAAAAGTCAAAGGTCTTATATTTTGAAACAAAGGGAGTATTTTTCTAATGTGATATTTTTCTCACTTAATCATGAGTATGGTATTTTAAGTGATGATAGGTGTAAGAATATAACATTAAAAAAAAAAAAAGTGAATGAATAAAAATATACATATATTAACGTCTATAAACTTAATATAAATGTCTTGTGAATTTAAAATAACATCTTCTTCCTTCTCATAAAAAAATAAAAATAAAAATAATATCTTCCCATGTTTGACCTCGTTCTCACCAGCGATTGATTCTCAAACTAGGATACATGGGACACAATAATTATTGAATTTGTGCCCAAACATAATTAACAGTTTTTTTTTCACTCTTCAATTACACAATAATTACCAACTGTTCACATGAAGAGATAGATAAGGGTTAATTTATAAATTTAATAGGCATATTTTAAAGTTAAGGTCACGTCTTATCACATGCATTCCAGTCCGTTAGATTGACCCCAGCTGCCCTCTGGCCCCAAACAAATTTAGATGTGGGGCATGCAGAATGATATGTAGGTTTCAATGCAAGGTGCAGTACACAAGTGGTGCTTAATTTGAAAGAGAGTAGTGTCCTATGAAGGTGGATAAGGGCTAAGGTCATCCATATTAATTTCTTATAAATACAAAGAAACGGTCCCCACCCTTCCAATAAATTCATGCATCGAGGAAAGCTCATGCGGTCAATTTCTTTTTTTTGGGAATACTTTAAAATTTAGTGTGTGTGGATCTGTTGCTTCCAGTTTCCTTGTACAGCCTCATCCACTAGCGTTGCCGGTCCCGTTAGGGTTTTGTTTTTTATAATTTGGTGGTTAGGATGTCACTAAGTTAGTTTAATACACAACTTGAGATTTATCTTTTTTCAATTGGATTAAAGATAGGATGTCTAAGTTGAGATTAAGAAAATTCTTGAGAAATTATTATTTTTTTTATTTCTTCTTCAAGGAATCAAATCTTAGTAAACAAAGAGAGGAGTAAACCCTCCTATTAACCATGCTCTAACTCTTGTAACACAACTTTTTAACAAAATAGTTAGGAGAAAATTTTGTATATATCATTTTGATTTTCGACTTCATAACCTCTGAGAATTTAGGTTATACAATGAAATTGAAGTCTCATGTTCTTTAGATGTGTGATAGAGAGATTTGGGACACAAAAAAGTATTAAACAATTTGACTTGATATGGATGGTATAATTATACTCTCTATTTGCTTCAGAATAATATATGATTTTTTATTTTATCTTTAAGTCAAAGATTCAATGATAATTTTTATTTTTACTTATTTTATTTTTTTTAAAAATAAAAATAAAAAATATTTTTTTACAATAGTATAACTAATTAAAATTCAAAAATAATGATAATGTTAAAAAAGAGAAAAAATATTTATCTCTATTGAAATATAAAAAAAAAAACTTTTATTTAGGGATAAATTTTAAATTTATTATTTTGATACCAATGAAATAAATATTGATTGGGGAAGGCCCTTTGACTAGGTGGGGCCTTTCTCTCTCCCAAAATTAATGGCCAAGTTATTGAGTTAAGGCTGTAAAACATTATTTTTTTTTTTTTTGAAAAATTAAAGGGTCTCTTACAAATAAGAATTTGGTTAAGATGGTCTCCTCTTTCCCATATTGTTTCTCCCAAAGCAAATACGAGATATTACTTTTGTTTAATTATATGAACAGATAAATTAGACGAGAGGGTATTTCCTAACACCTAAACCCAATTACGGGGATGGTTATTATTATATAATAATATATTAAGGTCACACAAATTTATTAATATTG